AAAAGAATCCTGTTATAAAATTCCCCTCCTTTTGCTTTTGTAACTTAACAGAGTTTGAAGATCTTTCTTTTAAGATTACATACAGATTGCAGCATGTATTTGACAGTATTGCTTACTAATATCCTTCTGGGGCAGTAATTATTGACACCCGTCACCCCATCCTGTAAGTATTTCTTTGCTTTCCCTTGCTGTTTCACTAAATCTGTTCCTTTCATCTGTTCTATATTTTCTTCTTTTGCTTCTCTTGCTTGAGGCCTGCTGGCGGCCTCCATGCCAGGGAGAGATTACGATCTCTCTTGGCTGGCTGGAGAAGGATGCCGCAGAGCTGGGCTAGCAAAGTTCAATGACAAAATTAGACTCCAAGCAGATCTTGACAGGCTGGAATCCAACTAGTTGACATTTAACAGGTATAAATATAGGGTCTTATGCATTGGTTTTAAAATACAGAAAACCTACATTGGTGTAATTTGAGAGAAGTTCTGTAAAGCACAATACAAATGTAATTTTTAAAGTACCCTGAACTAACCTAGTCCTAGAATTTTAGGTTAGTTCTAGAAAAGACCCCAGTATCATCATTTTTCATAGGTCCTCATTTACAAAGCGCCCTCTTTAGGCTAGGAAAAAGCTTGCTGGTAAGTTTGACATATAAAATACATATTTTTAAGTTACTTTAAATTATTTTCTTGACTTCCTAAAACTTGTAACTTCTTTACTAATTAATTATTGAACATCCATGTGCTGGTACAGTGATAAGGCAGTGAATGAGCCTGAAGAGACATATACAGAAGGAGAAAGGACTAGCATCTTCAAAGACAAGAGGCCTGAAAACCTGGGATGTTCAGTGCAACTGGAACATTTTGGCTCTTTGATATGGGCAATTGGTGTTTTCACCAACAGCCCTGTGTAAACACAGCTGCAACCCTCCCAGTCAGACTGCTGTCCCTAAGCCCCTTAAATATAGAAACCACAGGACTGTTGGATGAGTAATTTCTTTTTATGTTTTCCCCAGTGTCAGATTTGAATTTGAATTCATTTAATTGCAGGTCTTGAGAACAGAAAAGGATTACTAGATAGTGTCTTGTGTACTTTTGCTTAACTCGTATATGGACTGTTCTAAGTGTGTATCTAGGTTACCTTTCAGAATAATTATTATAGGAATCAGGAGTCCTTAGTTATAGCTGCTAACTAATGAGAAAACATTGCTTTGAGCACACCACTTCTCTGGGATTCTGTTTCTGCATATGGAGTAAAGCTCAGTGGTACTTGATATTTTATTTATTTACTTATTTATTTATGACTTATTTATTTAGAGAGAGAAAGAGTATGCATGCACAGGGGGGAGAGGGAGAATCCGAAGCAGATTCCCCCCTCTCGTTGAGTGGAGCCCGCCGAGAGACTTGATCCCGCTACTTGAGATCATGACCTGAATCGAAATCAAGAGTTGGAGGCTCAACTGACTGAGCATCCAGGCACCCCAGTATTTGATATTTTGGATGTAAAAGTTATTTTTGTGGGATTGTCCTGTGTTTGGCATCCCTGGCCTTAGCCCAGTAAATGCTAGTAGTGTTTTCTAGTCACTGTGCAATTCAAATTGCCCCTGTTTCCAAAGACTACAGGATACCACCCCTGGTTGAGAACCACCATCTTCCTTTTTTCTAGTTCTAATAGTCTCTGACTTATTTTTGGATGCACTGTTTTCAGTGTCTTGGTTTGCGAGGTACTTTTACCTTTTCCAAATGCCATGAATGTGTGTATATGCTCTTGTGTGAGGAACTGGACTCAGTCACTAATATTTAAGAATGTACTGTGCTCAAGAGATTGGGTACAAATATTTCTTGATATTTGGAGTTGAAATCAGAATGTTGCCATATTAACCCAACATGATCCCCAAACTAAGAATAAAGTGAAAATTTAGAAAATATAGGCCCACTTAAGTGTATGGCTCTGAAATGTAAAGATTTGACAGTGTTGGGTGCTTGAGTGTTAGGGTGCTCTGTAAATGTTACTAGATGCTTATATAGTATAATGCTTATAATAATTTATAATAAAAAAAGGAGACTGTGTAGGTCTCCTGGGAACTTTCACCCCGTTCCCCACCCCCCCCACCCCCGGCTTCTGCTCCCAAGGATACTTTTCATTGTCCTCTTATCAGCAACTTCATACAGTTCAATCTAATAGTAATCATTAGTCTCCACAGTCTGTGGGCTCTGGATAGTGTGACTATATCTTATGTAACTTACTGTTTTCAGAGTCTAGTTAGTGGCTAGTAGGTAGTATGTATTCAGTACTTATTTATAGAATGAATGTATGAAAATTACTTGCTATGAAAAAGTCTCAACTTTCATTCAGTACACTATATTTACGGCCTTAAGCTGGTACTTCAGATGTGTGAAAATAAAATGTGAATTTCAAACAACTCAGTGTTGTGGTTTAGAGCACAAGCTGTCTCCATCACTGATCAGCATTGTGACTTTGGGAAGATTTCTTAACCTAAAAGCCTTGTGTTGCACTAGTGTAAATTGTGCATGGCGTAACTTGCCTCCTGAGTTAGCAGAAAGGTCAGATGAGGTCACCTGTTGTCCTGCAGCCCGTTCCACTCAGCAGCTGGAATATTCAATAGTGCTAGACTCTGTACCACAAAAAACAAGTAAGATATAGTCCATGCTTCTTAATCAAGATAGAAAGCTTCTGCACAGCAAAGGAAACAGTCAACAAAACAAAGAGGCAACCCCCGGAATGGGAGATTTTTGCAAATGATACTACAAACAAAGGGCTGATATCCAAGATCTATAAAGATCTATAAGAACTTCTCAAACTCAACATCCAAAAAAACAAATAAGTCAGAAAATGGGCAGAAGACATGAACAGACACTTCTCCAAAGAAGACATACAAATGGGGGCGCCTGGGTGGCTCAATTGGTTAAGCGACTGCCTTCGGCTCAGGTCATGATCCTGGAGTCCCTGGATCGAGTCCCGCATCGGGCTCCCTGCTCGGCAGGGAGTCTGCTTCTCCCTCTGACCCTCCCACCCCTCCTCCCTCTCCTCTCTCATTCTCTCTGTCAAATAAATAAATAAAATCTTTAAAAAAAAAAAAAAAGAAATACAAATGGCTAACAGACAGATGAAAAAAGGTTCATCATCATTAGCCATCAGGGAGATTCAAATCAAAACCACATTGAGATACCACCTTACACCAGTTAGAATGGCAAAAATTGACAAGGCAAGAAACAACAAATGTTGGAGAGGTTGTGGAGAAAGGGAAACCCTCTACACTGTTGGTGGGAATGCAAGTTGGTACAGCCACTTTGGAAAACAGTGTGGAGGTGCCTCAGAAAATTAAAAATAGAGCTACCCTATGACCCAGCAATTGCACTCCTGGGTATTTACCCCAGAGATACAGATGTAGTGAAAAGAAGGGCCATGTGTACCCCAATGTTCATAGCAGCAATGTCCATAATAGCCAAACTGTGGAAGGAGCTGAGATGACCTTCAACAGATGAATGGATAAAGAAGACGTGGTCCATATATACAATGGAATATTACTCAGCCCTCAGAAAGGATGAATACCCAACTTTTGCATCAACATGGATGGGACTGGAGATTTTGCTATGTGAAGTAAGTCAAGCAGAGAAAGTCAATTATCATATGGTTTCACTTATTTGTGGAACATAAGGAATAGCATGGAGGACATTAGGAGAAGGAAGGGAAAAATGAAGGGGGGGAAGGGGAGGGGGAGATGAACCATGAGAGACTATGGACTCCAAGAAATAAACTGAGGGTTTTAGAGGGGAGGAGGGGTGGGAAGGATGGGTTAGCTTGGTGATGGGTATTAAGGAGAGCACATATTGCATGGAGCACTGGGTGTTATAAGCAAACAATGAATCATGGAACACTACATCAAAAACTAATGATGTACTGTATGGTGATTAATATAACATTAAAAAAAAAGATATAGTCCCTGCTTTTGAGGAGTTCATGGGGAAAAAAATGATGGAATAAAGAATTATACTAGCGGTATGAACAGCTTCATTTGTGCTTCTTCCAAAGGCTGGTAGCCAAGTGGTCCCTAATCTTTGTTGCTAGCATAAACTTTTATACAAGTTCACCCAGAGTAACAGGTACTAAAGGGTCAAGTCAGTAGCAGTAGGGTTTGAGTTAAGCAGAACAATGTTTAGAAACAAAGATACTTGTAGGTAGGTTGGGGCAGGAGAATTTTTGAAATAAACCTGGTTCTTCATAGGGGTGATGGAAATTTCATGAGTGTGTGTTTTCCCAGGGTTTTTCACTGAAGCTTATCTCATTAATAGATTTTTATTTAAACCAGGCACTATGTATAAAGTGGCCTTTGGAGAAAGGTGCCTGATTTAAGTTTTATACAAGTTCAAGCAATCTACCTCCAAAGATGTACTAGACCTGTTGACTTTTTATTAACCTTAGACTTGCCGAGAAATATTTAAACTGACTGAGAAATTAAATCAGACTTTATGATTTGTGGGGTTGCTTTAAGGACAAACTCTTGGCTAGTTCTTTGTTATTGCTTGCTTTTGGGGAAACCAGTTTTTGTGTTTTCTTCCTTTCTCCTCTCTTCCCCCGCCTTCACCTCTTCAAGCCCCCCTTCCTGCTGAGGCTCTCCTTATTTGTGAAATATTCTTTATGGCCTCCTCCACCCCCTTCCAGCTGAAGTCTTCCTGTCTGTATCACTCATGGCATCCTTCCCTCTTCCTGGTGTTAGCTTTATTCTTGTGTGTTCTCATCAGCCTGTGGGATTGTAAGCTCCTTGAGAGTTGATTCACGGCCTACTGTTGATGCATTGCCTGTACCTGTTAAAGGTATAGATACACAAGTCAGTGTTTGCCTTGAATAATCACTTAATGTTAAATTTTTTCTAAACTCTTAACTTTTCCTCCTCCTTCTCTTAGCCTTTCTAAATAATAGGCTAGATTTAATCTGTTTCAGAGAGGAAAGACTTACTTTTAATCAAATGTTTATTTTCTCTTTAGCTCCAAAACTTGGGAATCAATCCAGCCAACATTGGATTCAGCACACTGACCATGGAATCTGATAAGTTTATATGTGTCCGAGAGAAGGTTGGCGAACAGGCGCAGGTAGTGATTATTGACATGAGTGATCCAATGGCGCCAATCAGGCGGCCCATCTCTGCTGAAAGTGCCATCATGAATCCAGCATCTAAGGTGATAGCTCTGAAAGGTAAGCCTAATGGGATTTTCAGAAAGCAATTTTACCTCACTTTACCTGCTTTGTTACCTTAAATATCAGACAACTGTCAGTAAACTCACAGGAAAGTGTCATCAGTAATATTAAACTTAATTCCAAAAGTTTTAGCCAAAGCTATGTTTTACGTACCTTATTTAATGAGAGGTCCCTGAGTACCTGAGTTTTTTGTGACATCACGCATGTAGCCAAATACAGGAGGGAGCGAATGCCCAAGGCCTCATCCTCATGACTGCTACATCTGGAAAGGCCAACACCACACTGCACATGTTCACCAGTAGGGCCGTGTGGTGCCCTGGACCCCATGATGGGCTGCTTTACAGTGGCGCTTCAGGCATCCTGCAGTATGAGCCAAGGTACTACTTCTCTTGTGAAACACATCGATGACTGTATAGCTGTTGATTAATAGAATTTTGCATCCCTAAACTCGGGGGATGTTGGGTGCTTGAAACCTGCTAGTTACTTTGAGAATATAGAATCTTTTCATATTGCCATGATTTGGGAAATTGAAAGGATTATCTATATACTGGACTTGTTAATATTTTATGCAAGATGTATTATCACTTTGAAAAGTGAAAGTTCTTTCTGGAGCTAAAATTAGTGAATGCCAAATATTAGCTTTGCTTGTGCTTCTGTTTTGTTACAGAAATAGGGTCTGCTTTGTCCTTTCAGTAGGTAAATGGACAGCTGGAAGTTTTGACCTTTCTATTTAAAAAAAAAAAAAAGCTGATTTTTTTAAAATTTCAAATGATCTTTTCTTCTGTCAACTCTATTTCTTGTCAAAATATTTTTTTGAACATGTAGTGTAAACAGTATAAACTAATTTTAGTTGAAGAAATTGCTAACCTTTTTGGTTTTTTATTTTTTTGGCTTTTTTGTATTTTCTATTTTGCAATATTTTTGAGAGACCTTATCTATCATGTTGTTTGCTGTTTGATATATTCTCTTTGGGTCTCAGAGATGACCAGCATTTTAGTCTTCCTGGTCCTCTGATACTGTTCTCTTTACCTGTGTGCACTGTGGATCTCCTGGAGGGGGTTGTTGGAGTATGGTAGGGGAATGGAGAGAACTCAGTATTTACATGCTGTCAGTCCCCTCCAACCAAAAGGCCACTGGCAACACGCATGAAGTTGAACAAGTTGGGTTTATTACTTGTTTCAGCAGGGGTGAAGCCATACTATGGGGGGCTGGGACGTATCACACTATTATTAGAGGGTGTTAGAAAGAACCTTTTGTGGGATTTGGAATTTGGTTGGGTGATTTGGGGGATGGTCTAAGGAAATAGGAGTTTGCTGTAGATTGGGTGCTGTTAGAAAGTGGGAGTAATTTTATAATTAGGTTACCTCAATAAATCTTATCTATAAGGAAGGGCCGATTAGAGTGAGGATAAAGCTGGCATTGGTTAAAGAAGTAGCAGTCACTCATTTCAGCCATGAGAGGGGCTGTTTGGTATTTTTTTTTAAAGATTTTATTTATTTATTTGAGAGACAGAATGAGATAGAGAGCATGAGAGGTGGGAGGGTCAGAGGGAGAAGCAGACTTCCTGCCGAGCAGGAAGCCCGATGCGGGACTTGATCCCAGGACTCCAGAATCATGACCTGAGCCGAAGGCGGTCGCTTAACCAACTGAGCCACCCAGGCGCCCAGGCTGTTTGGTATTTTGTGCGTTACACATTTACCTTGTTTTTGTCTGTACTTAGTAAAATTCTGAGGCGACCTTGCTTTGTCTAACTTTATCATGGTCTTAGAGGGACTTGTCTGAAGCTGGTGTTCTCTGAGATGGTTTATGTCCACTAGGAGAGCAGCATGGCCTGGCTGTGAGGACCAGGCCGGCTTTCTGATGGCAGGGGCTGCTCCTTTTTTTTTTTTTTTTTTCATTCTCAGTGTTCATATGAATTTTTTCAGCTATAGTAATTGAGTGTTTTCTTTTTTTTAAAGATTTTATTTATTTATCTGACAGAGAGGGGCGCCTGGGTGGCTCAGTCGTTAAGCGTCTGGCTTCGGCTCAGGTCATGATCCCAGGGTCCTGGGATCGAGCCCCGCATCGGGCTCCCTGCTCGGCCGGGAGCCTGCTTCTCCGTCTCCCACTCCCCCTGCTTGTGTTCCCTCTCTAGCTGTCTCTCTCTCTCTCTGTCAAATAAATAAATAAATAAAATCTGTATTTATTTGACAGAGAGAGACAGTGAGAGAGGGAACACAAGCAGGCAGAGTGGGAGAGGGAGAAGCAGGCTCCCCGCTGAGCAGGGAGCCCGATGCGGGGCTCGATCCCAGGACCCTGGGATCATGACCTGAGCCGAAGCCAGACGCTTAACGACTGAGCCACCCAGGCGCCCCAGTCCCCGTTTTCTTTTGCATGAGAAAGTGTGAGCTGTGGAACCAAAGTGATAAAATTTTAAGTATTCTATTTTTACTGCAATCTTGTGGCCATTAGGATGATCTTAGACCCTTGTAGTACAAATTGTAGGCAAGTGTAGCACTGTGTTTCAAAGACCCTAGACCAAAATGAGGAAAACTGCCTTTTTTTTTTTTTAAAGGTATTTGTACAGTGGCTGAATTACAGAGATAATTATACTTTTATTATTTCATATGACTTAGCTGTTCCATAGATCCCAGTGTGAAAGCATGAAAGTGAAGTCAAGGGGGGCCTGGTCTTGAATCTCACAGATACCCCATTTTGACTGGTGAAGTCTTGTGATTGGAAAGAGGCTTGTGATGAGATGGACATCTTTTTTAAAAAGGTCTACCTTCACAGTTTGTCCTTTTATCTGGCTGAGAGCTCCTGAGGTGCTCAGCCCATACCACTGCCCATCCTTCTGGAGAAGCTTGTAGCAGATTCACTCACCCCAGTCTCTCTTCAGACAGTCTCTACTGGTGCTTTTGTGGTGAATATTTTAAAACCAGAGATACATTTTTACCCTTGACTAAAAGAGCAGGAAGCAGTGGGGGAGGGGGGGTAAGAATTCTCATCAGTTGCTCATCATCTTAATGGAACATTAATACTCTAAGTGAGGGGATCAGTAAACTGTTGGGTTTTGTACAGCCCCAACCTAAGAATGGTTTATTTATATTTTTAAAGAGTTGTAAAAACAGATAAATATGTGACAAAGATTTTATATGTCCCTATATAGAAAAAGTTGACTGACCACTTGCATTACTGGCCCAAGTATGTTTTTTACTTTATTATGAAACATAGCCCTTTGAATATTCATGTGTGCTTCTTTTTACAAACACTACCTTTTTTCCTTAATTTTTAGAGGTAGATTGCATATAGGCTTATAATAGTGCCAGCCTAGCAGTTAACTCTTGGCCCAGGTGGGGAGGTGGTAAGATGGAGCCCCCTTGTGGTAGCACATTCTTCACCCTGACAACAGAACCTGTCAGGACAGCAGGTTGATTCCTAAAGGAGGTTGGTAGGGTTTTCTTGTTTTGTTTTATTCTTTGTGATTCTAAATATTTTGCACATCATGTAAAGGAAGTTCTTTTTAACCAGTCTAAGGACAGCTTGACAAGTTTTTGAACTAGAGGAAATTTCCTCTGTGATCCCAGGCTTTTTGAAACTTAAAGGTACCCCCATCCTACAGTTGAACTTTAGTCTTTTTTTCTTTCTTAATCATTTTATTCAGGTATAATTTATATGACACAAAATTCACTTATTCTAAGTGTAGAGTAGTGATTTTTAGTAAATTTATTGAGTTTGGAACCACCACCATGCTCTGGTTTTAGAACATTTCTACTGCCCCAAAAAGTTCCTTTATTCCTGTTTGCAGTCATTCTCCACTCCCACCCTCAACCCTAGGCAGCTACTGATCTGTTTTCTGGCTCCATAGATTTCTGGACATTTCAAATAAAGAAATCATACAACATACAGTCTTTTATATCTGGCTTCCTTCAGTTAGCATAGTATGTTTGAGGTTCATCCACATTGTAGCTTGTATTAGTAGTTTTTATGGTTGAGTAAGATTCCAGTACTCCATTTTTCCATGGATATATCACATTTTGTTTCTCTGTTTACCAATTTAATGGACATTTGGATTGGTTCCAGTTTTTGGCCATTAAGGATATTGCTGCTATGAACACTTGCCTTCAGGTCTTTGTGTGGATGTATATCTAGGAGTGGAATTGGTGGATCATATGGTAAATTTTTTTAGCTTTTTAAGATACCACCAAACTGTTTTCCAGAATGGCTGTACCATTTTACATTCCTGCCAACAATGTATGAGGATTCTAGTTTTTGCAACATATATGCACACTTGATATTGTCTTTTTTATTATAGCAATTTCATTTGTATATCTTTTTTATTTTATTTTTTTGCCATTCATGTATCTTGTTAGAGAAGTGTTTGTTTAAATCTTTTGTCCATTTCTTAGCTGGCTTATTTGTCTTATTGAATTTTTTTTTTTTAATTAATTAATTTATTTATTTGACAGAGAGACACAGCGAGAGAGGGAACACAAGCAGGGAGAGTGGGAGAGGGAGAAGCAGGCTTCCCGCGGAGCAGGAAGCCCGATGCGGGGCTCGATCCCAGGACCCTGGGATCATGACCCGAGCCGAAGGCAGACGCTTAACCGACTGAGCCACCCAGGC